AAACTGTGTTTGAATAAAGGTCAACATGATTGTTTGTTTTTATTCTTATTCTAAAAGAAATGAAACCATCTGGCACCTTTTACTTGTACCCTCTTATCTGCCTCTTTTATAAGTATTATATTTTCCTCAAAAAATTAAAGTGCATAAATGTTCTTTTAAATTCACAGTGTGCAGTGGTTGAGAATCCGCCTGCCAACGTAGGGGACACATGTTCGAGCCCTGGACCGGGAAAATCCCACATGCCGCGGAGCAACTAAGCCCGTGCGCCACAACTACTGAGCCTGCGCTCTAGAGCCCGGGAGCCACAACTACTGAAGCCCGCGCGCCTAGAGTCCGTGCTCCGCAACGAGAGAAGCCACAGCAATGAGAAGCCCGCGCAGCGCAATGAAGAGTAGCCCTGACTCGCTGCAACTAGAGAAAGCCCAAGCCCGCGCGCAGCAACGAAGACCCAATGCAGCCGAAAATAAATAATTAATTTAAAAAAATAAATCCACAGTGTCAGGGTATTTTACCACAGCCTAAGAGCTCACTTCCGTGAAATGAGGTGCCTAACGGCAGACTTCACCCCCACAACAAATGCAAATAAAAAGGCGTCCAAAGCGTGGCTCGGCGGGCGAGCAGCAGAGACCCCGCCGGCCGGGCGAGGGGCGCCGGGAGCCCCGCAGAGGTTGGGGTGGAGGGAGCTGGGTCTTCGGCGGCGCGGAGCCGTGGCCACGGACCCCAGCCCGAGTCTCCGCCGCGCGCCGGCCGGCGTGTCTGAGTCGTCGCAAGGAAGCGCAGGGCGGGAAGGCGGCCGGCTCTGCTCCCCCGAGACCGTCGCGGCTGGTGGAGGCCCTGCTCTTTGGCCTGGTTCCCGGGTCGGATCCCGCCCAGGGCAGCGTGCCCTCGGCCCAGGTTAGGTCGGAGCTGCACCTGGCTGGGGGGCGTCGCGCACTGCCACGCTTTACTCTGCGCAGTTAGGGGCCTGGGGGTGGCTCCCCCTAGACGGTGGGGGCGGAGGTGAGCTGGCCACCTGCCCTCTGTGCAGCAGCTCCCTAGAGGGAAAAGGGGCTGGGCAGGGCAGGCCTCACCCGTCTGGGGGGCAGAGGTGAGGGGTCTAGGGTGGGGGGTGGGTCCCGACTCCTGGGCCACTAACGGAGTCTGTCTTAAACTTGGGCTCTGGAATCCACTCTCCCCACCCCTCGCTAGCTGGTCTCTTAGACCTGGCAGGGACCAGGTATGGGGATTTTTAAAATACCCGAGGTAGTTGTGACTTGCAGTAGGTTGAGAATCGCTGTCTTTATTTCCTAGTGTTGACTTTCTCTTAACTTGGACTTGCCACTGCCCCTCCTGACAGCTCCCAGGCCGGTTTTTTTTCAACTTCCGCTTCTCCTTGACTGATTCTCTCCGTATTTCCAGATTTGAACCAGATTTGTTTTCCCAGAGCTTTCCACCAACCATTATCTGTCCTTTGGTCATTTACCCTTTCCAGTTTGGATTCCCATGAAAGGAAATTGAATCTATTGATCCCCTGCCACTGCCATTGTCTGGGTGGGGCTTTGTGGCCCTAATCCCCTCCCAGGTTGCAGGCCAGCTTGTCCCACAACTGCTAGTTGGGTGCTCTAATCAGGGGTGAGAGGGGCACCACAGGAACCCATGGAACAAAACAGGCCTGGGACCCGGCAGTGTCTCTTACTTAGGTTGACTTGCCTAGCTAGCAATCACCTACCCTAGGACACTTTGGATTTTCCACTGGAAAACTGCACACTGTCTTCAAAAGGACCCTTGACTCAGAAAATGTCTCAGGTTAATTCAGCAGTTTCCGTAAGTAGCACTTAAACTCTAGGAGTTGGCTGTATCAGATGCAATGTATATACTGTGGCTGCTAACATGAAACAATTTCTTCTTATTCAGTCAACTAAAAAAGAAACCCAGTCATTCCTCTCCCAACTTGCCTTCTAATTTGTGGGTAAGAACAACTGTGTATGTGTGTGTGTTTGACGGGGGGCGGGGGGGTACATTAAAAAGTTCTTGCCATATTTGGGAGCAGACATGTGAGGTGGTAGGACTGACACATTTCACTGGGTCTGAAGAGTCCTCTGGGGTGGGGGTGTGATGAAGCAGAGGCAAGAGTCCCAGTTTCTCTAGTGTCTCCACACTCCTATGAGGTCTTTTCTTCCTGTTCTCCCACTCACCTTTTCCTCCAGTTGAGAATTCCTGTTGTTTCGTCCCCAGTCTCTGCTTTGGAGAATAGAACCCCTACTTCTTTTGGCAGTTGTTCCTCCCTCCACTCCAAACCCGAGTCCAGAGAGAGGCTGCAGTGTACTGTGACTCCCGGACTCCAGGTGGCTCCTGATTCATGACAGGCTGATCAAAGGCCCTCCCTGGCATCCTTTGAAGTGGAAGTTGGAAGGACAGTCTGTCTTTCTCATGATCTGCACATTAAGATATAAAAATTAAGAGCTACTGGCAGTAGAGTCGGTTGTATACTGGCAGCATGTGGTGGACGCTGATTTACAGTAGGAGACAATAAAGCTGATCTGCAGAGAGAAGCAGACAGGAGAGGCAAGGAGCCCCAATGGCGGTGGTGTTCCTGTTCCTGACATTTAGCTGTAACCCTGTCCTTTCTGAGGTTTGGCTGTTCAACCCTTCCTTCAATATGTGTAATCCCCAGTGTCCTCCTAGTAATGCACAAGTGTATCAGTTATCTATTGCTGCATAAACATTCACCCCGGAATTCCACGGCTGGAAACAACAAACATTTATTATCTCACAGTTTCTATTGGTCAGGAATTGAGGCGTAGCCTAGCTGAGTGGTTCCAGCTGTTTGCAGTCAAGGTGTCAGCTGGGGCTACAGTTTTCTGAAGGCTTGGCTATGACAGACTTGGAAGGATCCACTTCCAAGATGAATGGCTCTTGTCTTGGCAGAAGGCTCAGTTCTCTATGGGCTGCTGGCAGGCCTACTTCATTGGCTGTTGGTAAGAGACCTTGGCTCCTCACCACATGGACCTCTCCACAGGCTGCTTGAGTGTCCTCACAACATGGCACCTACCTTCCCCCAGAGCAAGCAATCCAAGAGAGCAAGGAGGAAGCCACAGTGCCCTTTATGACCTAGTGTCTGAAGCTGCAGTCACTTCCACTTTAATCTGTTCTTTAGAAGCAGATCACTACGTCCAGCCCACCCTCAGGAGGACACTTACGCTCCACACAAGTAATCAACATGTATCTAATTCTGTGGTCTTTCTGTTCTCACTGACCACTGCCTTCTTCTTGCCTCTGGGACTTGGGTGTTCCCTCACTATACCACCTAAAAGCTGTCCTGTGGGGTGTCTAGGTCTTTTGGAGGTGCCCTGGGCCCTCAGGAGTTGTTTTATCCTGTCTTTTCAAATCTGATACAACTTAGTGAATCTATTCCATGTAAAAGGCAGTTCTGCCTTGGCAGGACACCAATCCCTCCCCCAGACTGTGGGGTTAGAGAATAATTTTAAACCAAAAAATGAGGGCACTGTATGTGAACAGAATATTTAAAATTTGTGCTGCTCCAAAGCTCTGGGGCTTAAGGTTGTTTTACCTACATACTTTTATTTCTTAGGGAGGTAAGAGGGATCTTAAGAACTGATAGTGACCAGTGATTTCTCTGGTGGTCAGTTCCATGAAACACAAAGGAGGCATTTGAGGAAGGAGTGGATGGTCAACCTGCAATCGCTATGGCGACAGGTCATGTGGAGGACTGAGAGAGGCAGTGGATGTGATTTCTCATAAAGCTGTCCAGTGGAGAGATGGGAGCAGGAGGGCAGGAGCCACACTGTGAGGGGCGGGTGAACCCATCAGAGCTCTCGGTTGTAAGCAACAGATATTGACCAGGCCGATGTGAGCAGAAAAGAATTCAGTGAAAGGATATGGGGATAATCATACAATTTCTGGGAACATTGATGAAGCAGCTTCTGAAAATGGGCCAGAAGAGGAAAACTGGCCAGAGCCCAGATCATATTGCAGACACAGTGACTACCACCATGGACTCCAGAGACAGCGGCCTGTAACACCGACACCTCCCAGAACACTGGACATTGCTGCCACAGCTGCCAAAATGGACACGCCACTGCCCCACTTCTCAGCGTCACTTGCTCCCAACGCAAAGTTCAAGGCAGATCCATCTGGCTGAGTCTAGATCATCTGCCTGTGCCGTGTTTGCCAAGGAGCTAGGAAAGCAAGCCTTTTTAGCTTCTGACACTGGAGGCGGGCTCAACCTCCCACCAAGATGCAAAGGGTGGGGGATCTTCAAACGTGAAGAAGACCCTGATCCAGGCAGCCCACACTCCTCAGAGTTCACTCCAGGAAGTAAGAAACTTGAGGGTCCAAGATCATTCTTGTAAGAAGTTTGGAAGGAAAGGGAAACAGAGTGGTGAACTAAGGGAAGAGCAAAACCAAAGGGTCTTTCCTTTTCTTTTTGGTAAAATTAAGGGACCTGAGCAGTTTCACAGAGGAGGAGAAACAAAGTTTCTTGACAAGACAAGGAAGCTGGCACCCCATTCTGCCTCTAGCATCAGGACAGAACTGTTCAAAGACAAGACCACTTTGAACAAAAGGACATGCTTCTGAAGCAAAGGGACTAAAAGCATTATTCATGACTGTTCAAAAATTTCATATAGTCTTTCTTGGTCTGCTTCTTATTAATTACATTATCCCCATATTAAGAATGTTGCCAGGACTTCCCTGGTGGCGCAGCGGATAAGACTTCTCGCTCCCAATGCAGGGGGCCCGGGTTCAATCCCTGGTTGGGGAACTAGATCCCACATGCATACCACAACTAAGAGTTCGCATGCCACAACTAAGGAGCCCTCAAGCTGCAACTAAGGCGCCCACGTGGCGCAACTAAGGAGCAGGTGAGCTACAACTAAGGAGCCCCTGTGCTGCAACTAAGACCCAGCACAAATAAATAAATAAATATTAAAAAAAAAAAAAAAAGAAGAATGTTGCCTAGCACAGAGCAGGATTAAATAAATATTTTTGTAATGAAAAAATTTTTAGTTGTCTGTTGCCTTTAATTAACATCTAAATAGATATCATATTCTTCTATAATTACAATATGGAAATGTCCATGAACAAAATAGATAAATTTTTTGTCATATGCCTAGGAAAGAATGGTGGCAATAAGATACATCCAAGGTTTCAGCAGCAACATCTACGCAGCCAAGGTGTGGTCAGTGTTTGGGGACAGAGGTAAATATCCGCAGTCCGTGCATACCTTTGATTTCTTCTTTTAGTGCCTAAGGAAGCAGAAGAGCATCAATCATTGTTTTGTATTTGACACTGATTACAATAAGTCTCTATGGGAGTATTTTTATATAGCTCTATCTCTGTAGGAAACTTTGCACACACTTTCTTTAACAATGTTTCCTTTTTATTTTTGGAATCAGTATTTAAGCTGGCTCAAAAATCAAAAGGCATAAAAGGCATGCAGTAAAGTCTCCCTCCCACACCTGTCCCCCAGTTTCCACCTCCAAACCAAATAGAGAACTGTTGGTATTTTCATGTGCATCTTTGCAAGGATTTAAAAATGCATATTCAAACTAATATTAATATATATTCCATGCCAATACCTTTTTAAAACACAAATGATAGTATTTCAAACACAGTTCTGCACTCTCTTTTCCCCTAACACTGGGGATCTTTCCACATCAGGCACAAAGCATGCCCTCATTCTTTCTTGTATCAGCATAGCATTCCATTATATGTATCGTAACTTTTTAGCCTGTCCCCTAATGAAGAACTTTCAGGCTGTTTTTTGTGTTTTGCTATTTTGAGCAAAGAACAGCTGTTCTTTAAAACCACACTGGGAGTCCCCTGGTGGTCTAGTGGTTAGGATTCCATGCTTTCACTGCAGAGGCCTGGGTTCAATCCCTGGTTGGGGAACTGAGATTCCACAAGCTGAGTAGCACAGCCAAAATTTTAAAAAATTACTTGAATAAAAGAAAATATATAGCTTCATGTAAAAAAAATTTTTTTTAAATAAAAAGATAAAACCACACTAATCAGCACCAATTCCCCAATTTTACTCTAAATCAGAAAATAAAATTGTAAATTACGAGATTTGTTTAAGGTTACAAATGATGTCAGGGCCCAAGTGTAAATGGGCAACCACAATCAAATAGATATTTAGCTCTTGCAGTACCAGGAGACACACTACAGGACCTGAATGAGGCATGAGAGTCTAAGTCCTTTTATACTAGGCCCAAGACATCACAGTGGGGTAGACATTTTTTTCCAGTCTATCCAGCAATCTCCCTTCTCCCTTTCCACTTTAATTGTGTACTGCTGGTGGGACTACCAGTTGACCTGTACTGAGGTAGCTATGTGGCCCTGGACCAGCCTGACTGGTCCAGGGGAGGCACATGACTCAAACTGGGCCAATCAGAGTCTTCCCTGGGATTTTTCAGTGTAGAGCCTTCTCTCTTGGTCACCACAGATATACCCTGTCTTATTGCACTTTGCTTTACTATATTTTGCAGATATTGTGTTTTTTCACAAACTAAAGGTTTGTGGCATCCCTGTATTATCAGATGATGATTAGAATTTTTTAGCAAAGTATTTTAAAATTAAGATATATAGTTTTTTTTTTTTAGACATAATGCTACTGCACACTTGATAGATACAATATAGTGTAAGCATAACTTTTATATACACTGGGAAACCAAAAACATTCATGTGCTTGATTTATCCTCATGGTCTGGAACCAAGCCTGCAATATCCCTGAGGTATGCCTGCATACTGGAATATTGTCACTTGGAGGCAACTTGGAGTCCTGTTCCCCACCAAGAGAAAGCCCATCTCCAGTAGGAGAAAATGAGGCCAACATACAGAAACTGGAAGCTCAGAAAAAGAGAATATGAAAGAACAAGCAGATGAACTTAAGACCCTGAATCTAGATAATTTCATTACATGGGCCAATTAATTACCTTTGTTTGCTAATGCTCGTTTTAACTTTGTCTCTGCCACTTAAAACAAAGAGAATACTAACACATGCGGTCAAGTTTATTGAGTCAGAAGGATCCTTAGAGATAATCTAGTCCTATCTCCATCTTTGATAAAAAAAAGAAATAGAGTTTATCCCTTGTCCAAAGTCAGCACGTGAGTAACAGCAAGTGAGATAGAACCTGAACCCAGGGAATCCTGACATCCTGGCCACCCCTGATGTCAGGAGCTGTGGTTGTGTTGGGAGCCAATGAGCTGCCCCACCATCTCCATATTCACAAATAAGCCCCTCAGCTCTGCAGATAAGCAGAAATGCCCCTGGAAAAAGCCTCATGTCACTGCTGCGAGAGGGAAACACAGCGCCCTGAGCCACATGCTCTCTGCTTTCTGCAGGCATGGAATGTTCCCTAGAGGCTGTCCCTGTGTCTCGGCCACAATTCTTAAAGCCTCTGTGGCTAGATGAGGGCCCAGTCACAGCTTCACATGAAAGACCCTGGACAGAGAAACCATCCAGGCTTTGATCCCTAAGCCCTGTGCACTTCCCCTTCCAGGGCCTTCTCCCCACTCTCTTGCAGCCCTCAGAGGGCTTCCCAACACAGGTCACAGGATCTTACAGCTACAGAGGGCCTTAGAGATCACTTGGGTCACTTTAAATAGGTCAGGAAACTGAGGCCCTAGTAGGGAAATGACTTGGCCAAAGTCCCACAGTTTATAAGATGTACAGTAGGTAAACATTTTTCAGCACCCACTATGCCCATGGCATTATGCTGGGTGCTGGGGACACAAATGAAAAAGGCATGGGAAAATGATAAAAAAGGTAAGGAAAGTAACTCAAGCCCACAAGAAATGGATTCAGCACAGACTGTGATGGATGCTGCCAGACCACAAGCCAGCTCAGCGCTGCTGCGGGTACTGTTAGGAAGAAGCATTTGCTACCGCACTGGCCGTTTGTGCAGGAGGTAGCCCAGGAGCGGGACGGCCGGAGGTGCAGCAGGCACAGGGCCCAGGAGAGCAGGTGAGGAAAGGCTGGGAACCTGCTGCAATTCACCAGGAAAAGCCTGGCTTTGAGTCAGGCCCATGGAGGGGAGACTGAGGCCGACCACAAAGAGGATCAGAAATCCCAGATGAGGGTGGGACGGGCTCCATGGGCAACCAGGGTGCCCAGCGAAGGGTTCTGAGTAGGGGAGCAAGGGCAGAGGCACCCTTTGGGGAGGATGATGGACAACAGACAGGAAAGAGGGCAGAGAAAGGGAGAGGGCAACTGCTATTTACCAAACGCCCTTCCCATGCCAGCACAAGGCGGGCACGTGTGGCCAGCACCTCACGTGGTCTTCACCAACGAGGAATCTGAAGCTCTAGTCGCACTGTAATGTGCGGAGCTGGGATGGACCAGCTCACCCGACACAGAGGGAACACGGCGCTTGCTCTCCTCTGTGTGGCTGCTCCCCAGGGCAGGGGCAGGATGGATGGGGAAGGAATCCTCATCATCCTGCCATCACTGGGGCCTGGCCCAAAGCATATGGCGGTGACGCCCTCTGCCACTGCCTCCTGCCTCACCCACCCCACGGCAAGCAGTGCTTGGCCCAGCAAAGCGGCTGCTATGGTAACCCAGGCAGTAGCTGCTCCAGGTTAAAAGTACACCAATGCCAGGAGGTGAATTCTCTGAAGTGGAAAGCCTTTCAGGCATTAAACATTTAATTTCTCTGTAAATCAATTAGAAAACCCAGGCCAGCTCTCCTTACTCTCTATAAACTCTCAACAAACACTGATTGAGCTGTTTTATGTACCAGGTCCTTTGTTAGGTGTTGGGGACACAGCAGTGAAGAAAACAGACCTGGGTTGTATAAGTGAATCACTCTGCTGTACACCTAAAACTAATACAACATTGTTAATAAACTATGCTCCCATATAAAATAAAAATTACAAAAAAAAAAAAGAAAAGAAAAAGAAAACAGACCTGGACCTGGCCTGCATAGTCTGCTTCCAGGGCAATGACAGACAAACGAGCAAGGTTCTCCAGCAAGGACGGGGCCAGGGAAGGTACATGTTCAGTAGGGGCCCAAAGGAAACCTTGAGCCCAAGATGATGTAGGTGACATTCTCCCAAGCAGAGGAAAACTGCTGCCCCCTGAACTTGTGGCAGGTTCCTCACAGCATTTATAGGTAACAGTGATGATGATGGTGACAGCAGCTGACATTTATGAAGGACTTAGCATGTGTCAGACACTGTTCTCAGTGCTTTACATGACTTTACCACTAATCCTCAAAAGAGCCCTTTGAGGCAAATCCTATTACTCTCCCTGTTACAGATTAGGAAACTGAGGCACAGGGAGATTAAGTAACTTGCTCAAGGTCACACAGCAGAAAGTAGCAGAGCCCAGATTTGAAATGTGGGCAGTCCAACTCCAGAACCTGCATCCCTGTAACCATGGCTTCAGGCCAGGGGATGTGCTGTACTTAACAGCACCCCCAGGAGCCCAGTTGCACTAGGCAGCCTGAGTAGTTTTGATAACAAAGTCCTACCAGTTGGGGATGATCTGGGCCAGTTGGGTCTTCCCTGCCTTGTCTTCTACCTTGGCTCCAATCCCTGGGATCACATGGGGCTAGAAGTGCTTCTGGAGGACAGAAGTGGTTGCTGTTCCACCCCAGATTGCCCAGTCAGACCACCAGCACGCCTTAGGGCTGTATGTGCCCACATCCAAGTGAAGGTGGACTCCACGAGGAATCCAAAGATGGATCCAACAAGAAACCAGACCACAAAGGGCTCGCAGGGCCAAGGGATGGAGGCAGGGACCTAAGTTTCCAGGACACAAGCCAGAAAAGCCTGGAGTCAGGCGGTGGAGGGCATTCATTCCCTGCCAGGCAGGTGGGAAGACAGCATTTGAGCCTGGCAGAGGAGTGAGGGAGGGGCAGCCCAGGTAGGAGGTCTGATCTGGACAAAGGTCCAGATGCATGGAGAGACCAATGGGCAGGGCTCAGAGGTAGATTCTAGGCCAAGAAGGGTGGGGAAAGGCCTGGAAGAGCAGTCTGGAACACCTGGACTCAACTTTCATGACCAGAGCTGTGCTTTACAAAAGTTAAACTAGTTCACAAAGTGCAACTTTCCAGAATGATGTCAAACACACTGGCTGAATGGGGTGAGTTTATAGACATAGGCCCAAGGGTCAAGGCTGGAATAAATTCCAAGTAAAATAAGCATAGAAAATGAATACGTTGGGCCTTAGTCTGGTTTAATCTGATGTTCCGGACCCCTGCTGTTGTCACTGGGTCCAGGGCAGCTGGAGCAATTCTCAATCAGGCCATCCTTCAATTTATCCAATTTCGGACTACTTTAGTAGTCCTAAAAGAGGCTTAAAAAAATGTTCAAATCTACAAAAACATATATATTTTAGTACTCCTGTGTTTACAAATACTATTCAATATGCAACAATAACAGTACACAGTAAACATCGGTAGCACTATACAGGGAAATGCAAAATAACTATTGGGTGGCTTGTTTTCAATTTTGAATAAAATTCATATCTGCCTACAATCCAATCCCAGATAGTTTGTTTATGTTTTTCTCAGATCCTGAGTCCTGTTCACATGATTGTGGTATTGCATTATTCTTTCCTAGGACTGGTGGTACAATACCATCCCCACTTGCAGGCCCTCTCAGATGCGGAGACCAGTGGCAAGGCCTCTACTGACCTGATTTACCATCTGGTGCTGCTGGACAGTTCTCTTCTCCTTAAATTCTTCTGATTCAATTTGAATTTCATACATGGCCCCACAGCCTCCTGAAATAAATGTGATTTGAAAGTGTTTCAATTATTAAGTTACAGCAGCCACAGTTCCTTATGTCCTTGAAGTAAGTACCACACAACCCAAAGAAGGTCTGAATGTTATCATTCTGTAGAAAGTTGCTAAGATTGTTAGAGGATCATGGCTTACAATCTGACCATGTCCTCCTCCTGGCAGGCTGCCTCAATCCAAAACATGCTCTTCCTTTTGTAAGGCACTTGCACTGCCCAGAATTTTGCTTTTGGGGTAGGAAAGATAAGGCACAAAACATGTAAAGCCTAGGAAATGTAGGTTTTCCTACTATTTCCTTTTATTAAGCCAGCAAATGCCATGGAAGAAGGTGGGAGGGACTGAATTTCAGTGCTCCACCTCCCAAAGGACTAGCAATTGGTATTTTTAAAAATGCAAAAACACACTAAAATGTGATTCAAAAACCACGTGCAATACTATCCAAAATAAAAGGAACAAGGAAGCGTGAGAGACAGGGACACAGCATTACAATAAACAGTGAAAACATGCTGGTCACGGAGCTGGGCTCTCCAGCGCCCCTGCTCTACAAGCAGCATTAAGGGTTTCCCCCTGGGCTGCGGCAGGGGGTGGGTGGCTGTCTGGGGATGCTCTCAAGGCAGCGCTTGTGTGGACCCATCCACCCCCAACCCGAGCTTTGTCTCCACATGGCTGGAAAGCTAGTGCTGATGACTGATGATAATAAAATGTGCTGCTCCAGCATGACACAAAGCGGCAAGAAAGAACTCAATAGGCTTTGTTAAGCTTTTTTCATGGGTTCTAGGAGCCTAAGCTTTGGCTAAACCAAGGTTCCTAGCCTTGGTCCCCTTTCTGCACTCTACCCAGGGCTGGGCAGAGTGAGACTGGAGGTCAAGTTCCAGCTCTCCCCTAACTGGGCCTGAGGCAGGTACAAGACTGGTGACATCAAGACCTCAGCACTGGGACTTCCCTGGTGGCACAGTGGTTAAGAATCCGCCTGCCAATGCAGGGGACACGGGTTCGAGCCCTGGTCCGGGAAGGTCCCACATACCGCAGAGCAACTAAGCCTGTGCTCCACAACTACTGAGCCTGCGCTCTAGAGCCCACAAGCCACAACTACTGAAGCCCACGCGCCTAGAGCCCATGCTCCGCAACAGGAGAAGCCACCACAATGAGAAGCCCGCCCACTGCAACGAACAGTAGCCTGCACTCGCTGCAACTAAAGAAAGCCCGCGCACAGCAATGAAGACCCAACGCGGCCAAAAATAAATTAAATTAAATAAATAAATTTTTTTAAAAAAAAGACCTCAGCATTGCCCTGGGACCCCTGCAGAGGGCTCACCCAACCTACCATTCCAACAGATCTTTAGATGGGTTAATTTCCTATAGTGTCCAGAGTAAAACTACTTTCTAAACTTTCTCCCTATCCTTGTAAATGTTATGTTCCCAGAGAAGCCAGTGAGCCCTCGAGCAATGCAGAGTGACAAAGACTGGGTCTGGGTGTGGGAGATGCCACCCTTGGCCAGCTCTTCCACATGTGTGTCTAGATAAAGGCCTTATCTTCCCCGTCTGGTGTGGGCAGAAGTTGATATCCCAGCCTGCTCCTAACTCACAGTCAGCCTGAACTTTGAGGTGCCAGCGGCCATCTGAGAAAGGCAGGGCCTGTCTGGGGCTGGTCACTGGGCTCAGGACAGAGTCTGCCCTGGGTTCTGGCTCTGCCACCTATGCCCTGTGAAGGGCTAGGCAGGTTCTTAGACCTCTCTGGGCTCGTCTTCCTGGAGTCTGTTCTAGCTCTGGCATTCTAGGGTGTCAGAAGAATGTGGGGAAATTAAAGTCTGGCTCATCTCAAAGTCAAATTAAAGGCTGTGGACCGGAGCCCCAGGGTGACTGAGAGAGACCTAAATCTGAGCTGCGCCAAGCCTGCAACCACAAGTCCTCGCAGCTCCCCACCAATGTTTCTGCATCCCCACCTCCACCCTTGCAGCGGGAGAGGCCAAGGTCTATGTGTCTAAAAGCCACATGTATTGAGAAGCCACTGATGGCGAGTTCCATTCAAGCCTCCTGCCCTCTACCCCTCCAGCAGGTAAAATCTTACCAAACTCTGTGGGAAAGATGAGAGAAAACCTTACCTGAAATGTCAGTGACTTTGATAGCTGTAGCTTGAGGAAATTTTTCTTTGAGAATTTGGGTCACTTTGAGCTCCCCCTCAGTCTGCGAGGCAAACATGCGCTGGGCACAGTGGAGAAGAGGAAGCTGCCACAGAACAGAGGAGAGTCACTGTGCAGGCCCCCCCTGCCCTCCCCTGCAAGGCAGGGCCCTGAGCTAAGTCAGGGGGACTGCATGGTGTCTGATGTCCATTTAAGCTCTCCAGGATGCAGAATAAACTTCTTTTGAGGGGGGAGTGGAGTTGTAAATAACTCACTTTGACTCTAGAGATAACAAGGGCCCCAACTTAAATCAACAAGTGTTTAACTCCTCATGACAGTGAGACACTAACATGATGACGGTTTAATAAGTGAGGCACCTGAAGCACTAAGTAATATGCCAAGGTTGGATCCCTTAATAAGATGCAGAGTCAGGAGAGGCCGGGCAGCAGCCTGGCTCAGGCATGCCCTGCTTAGGCCAGCATGCCACTGACCATGTACTGATGGGGCCAAATGCCACCCACCCTTTAAGCCTGATTAACATTCTACATTCTCTCCAGTGGGGTGTAACCCTGTGACCTACTGCTCAATAAGCCAGCTACCCTTTGCAATTCTTACTGGGAGAAGAAACAGAATTCTATTAAAGGACCTGAAGTCAGAACATTTTTAGATTATTTACCACTGACAGTAACACTCCCCCCTCCCCCAATGGCTACCCTAAGGACCCAGTGCTCCTGATGGGAATGTGTCTCAACACTTATGGATGAAAGAGCACAAAACCATGTCAGCAGCCCCTTGGCTGGGCTGAGCACATGCTGAAAGGGGAGACTGAAAATAGAGCATGGCAGGCCTTCAGTGTCAGGCCAAAGATTTTGGACTTTGTTAGACAGGCTTCTTGGTGCCAAAGTACCAGTGCCTTTTGAAGTAAGTCAGGAAAGATTCCCAGATAATGGTATCATTACAAAGGGAGTAGTACCAGGCATCCCTGACTGGAGGAGGAAGGCAGGTGGAGGGAGCGCTGTTCATCAAGTGCTGGTGCTGAAGGTAACATCCCTTCTCCTCCTCAGTCCTGCCCAACCTCAGGCCTTTTCTGACGGCCCAGAGCAGGGTCCTGGGTTATAGAACCTCAGAGCGCCTCCTTTAAAATGCCCTGTGCATTGACTCTTTCACCAACTGGTCTTAGAGGCCAAGACTAGGTCTGTCTTGTTACTGCAGTCTTCTAGAGCTGACCCAGGGCAGGCCCTCAGGAGGACTTGGGTTATGGATGAATGAGTGAATGAATGAATGAGCAGGGGAAGAACCACACGATTCAAGGCATATGTACTGGGCACCTGCAAAGAAGTCCTGATTCTAGCAGGCAACTGAAATGCAGGTCAGGAGAAAGATCTGGAGGGAGGCTGTCTGAGTGATGTATACAGGGACAGAATCTTAAGTTGTGGGCCTGGGTAAGACTGGGGGGGCAGGGGGGAATGGGACCTCCTCTGAAGACAGTGCCCTGGGGGGCAAAGGCAGAGGGTAGCCAGGTGGCACGCAGAAGCGGCAATCACTAAGGAGTGAGGGTGGTTAGCACTGCTGACTCCTTGGGAGAAGCCTTTTCCTCATCTCAGCTGATCTGCAGGCAGCGGCCTTTAAACCAGTAATCTACTGACAAAATCCCCGGAAAGCCGACTGTCCACTCTGAGAGTCACCAGCAGAAGTGTCCTTCATGCCTGGGGGAGGCAGGTCCAAGAGAAGGAGGAAATGTGAGAGGAAAGCGGAAGAAGTGGATGAAGTGAGGAAAGAATGAATCAGAAACGGCGGAGAGAAAATTAGCAGGGCGCGTGGTGAGTGCCCTCTGCTGGCTTCCTACCCCGGGAGTATGGGATTTGGGGAGGGTCAAGGTCACAGAAGCCAGGCGGACTTTCCGGAGCCCTGACCCAGCCAACAGTCCCCGGCACGCACGCCGCGACTCCGGGCTATGAGTCCCATGTCTTCGGCTCAGTAAATCAACATTGCTTTTTCCGTGCCCGCTGTATTATGACTACCTATTCCCCTCGGCCTCAACCCCCACTCCGTTCGGGAGCTCCCCCAGCACGCGCCGGGCCTGACACTTCTCCCAGTGCCCGTAGCCGGGCCCACTAAATGAAGAACCAACGAGGGAGTGAATAAGAGAAATGAAGGGCAGGCCCTGGGCCCAGCGCGCCTCCCTCGGTGGACCACTTCCGCGGCCGCGGCCGGCCCCGCGGTCCCAGCGCAGCTCCCGCCCAGGGGAGAGCAGCCCGGTCCCCGCCCGCGCTCACCCGACGGGTTCCGCGGAGCAGAGGCGCTGCCGCGGCCGGGCTCCACGCCGCCATGCCCGGCCGACGCGGCCCGCCGTCTGAGGTCGCCTTGTCGCCCAAAAGACGCGGAGCCTGGGTCCAGGGCCGCCGCCGCCACGGGCTAGGCCGCCCCCTGCCGTCCGGAGGCCGCGAGCCGCCCCCGCGCGCCCCGCCCCCCCCCCCCCCCCCCCCCCCCCCCCCCCCGCCCAGGGCCCTGTCTTCTGCCCTGGCTCTGGCACCGGCTTCCCCTGCCTCCCAAGGCTCTCCCCCAGCGGGTCCTTCCTCCTCTGCCTAGAAGACGGTGCTAGGTGCTCGGTCCTGCAGGACTTTCCCTCGTCCCAAGGACCCTGGGGCCCTAGGTGGAACGCCTCCATTCCAACTCCCCACCCGAAAACTTGCTGCTAAACTGAGGAGCTTGGGTTTCTCCCTCCAGGAGGGAACCAGGAGAGGATTTTAAGCAGGGGAGTCGTTTTCAGATTCGCGTTTTAGAAAGATCACTCGCTCCTGCAAGGAGCGGGGACAGAAGGAGGCTGAAATTGGAGACGAGGACAGAAGTCCCAAGGCTATTGCAATGGTCCAAGTGAGACTTGAGGCCCGAACTACAGCAGCAGCAGCAGCAGCAGGGATGGGAGGAGTGGACTGAGACACCTGGGAGGTGAATGGACTGGAGTGACCCGATTGGTGGATGAGGGGATGAAGGTAGCAGGGAGGACCCTCAGGGTTCTGGCTTGGACAATGAAATGAGTAGAGGAGAACTAGGTTTGGGGTGAAGGGGGTCGACTAACTCAGTTTTGGATTCGTCTGAGTCTAAGGTGCCTGCAGGACACGGCCCAGCAGAGATGCTGCTGGAAACACAGACCTTGGATTCTTCACAATGCAGTGGAAACTGACACCATCGGGGACCGGTATTGATAGGGACTGAGTAAAGGAACAAAGTAGGTGATTAAATAGTTAATCCCACTGAGGAATCATAAGTAAATAAAAAAGTATAGAAGACCCCTGTAAGTTAACGATCACCCAAGAAAGTAGGTTTGCTTAATCACAAATCCAAGCAGGCTTGCCTAGCAACAAAACCATGCAACAGAAGCATGAGACATGCCCCAAAACAATAAAACAATGGTGTAATGAGACCCACATCCTACCCAGTAAGTTCAGGAAGTTGATGATGCCTAAGACATACTTCTCTTCACGCACTGAAAACAGTAATATAAGGAAAAGGTGACATTATACTGAAAGCTGAGATGATTTATCACATTTTAGTATATGTTACTGCCTTTTTTTTTTTGCGGTACGCGGGCCTCTCACTGTCGTGGCCTCTCCCGTTGCGGAGCACAGGCTCCGGATGCGCAGGCTCAGTGGCCATGGCTCACAGGCCCAGCTGCTCCCCGGCATGTGGGATCTTCCTGGACCGGGGCACGAACCCGTGTCCCCTGCATCGGCAGGTGGACTCTCAACCACTGCGCCACCAGGGAAGCCCTGTTACTGCCTTTTTGCTCATTTCCATTGTGCCACGGCAGTCCCAGTTTGACCATGTAGGGACAAGAAAACTCCCCCGCCTGACATGGAGGAGGAACTGATGACAGAAGCTTGACGTCTACTGAAGAATGAGGAAGGTGGTGGTCTTCTCCCCCTCCCCACTTCTCCTTTGATCACAGAACTGTAGCCCACTAAGCTCTCGAGGCAGCACCCTTCTTGCCGGTTGCTTGTAACCTCACAAGCATCCTATTCTAATAAATCACTTATCTATCACTTTGCCTCTTGCTGCATTCTTTCTGCGCTGAGCCATAAAGAACCAGAGCTCCTTGGAGCCCCGAGACACATTTCTGTGGTTTCAGTATGATTATCAGCAAATCTGCCCCACTGCTGGAATGCTTCAGATAGATATCAAAGCCAAAATTCAGCCAAGCCCTTTCTCTAGTAGGATATTTGCAGCATGTGGTCTGGTATACACTGAAGGATGTACCAGCTTTTTCGTATTGCATTCTGGCTTATACAATCAACATGTTCGGTGTTGCACTTGGATGGGTTGTGCAAGCAGATAGGGTAGGAGGTCCCCGGAGAAAGAGAATCAGGCATGGCTTTCTTGACATGAGCCATTTCTGGCCTAAGTCATTTTGTGATCTAAGCCTGGCCACAACACTTGCCCTTGAATAGGTCTCAGTAATTAATGATCTTAAGGAAATAAAAGAATGCAGGAACAAACGACTGTAACCCAGGAAGAGTAGTAACAATCGCAAAGATAATAAATCACTTATAAAGACTCCCAGTTCTGTTTCAACGGTAAAGATTAGCCTGGCACACACTCGAGTTGTTCTGCAGAATTCAAACACCATCCCCACCCGCCCTGAGAGCTCAGCCACCAGATCAACTGGAAGCTAAGAAATTATGTTGATCTTTCCTGACCCTTGTGACTTCAACTAAAACTTTGACTCTGTCCACCTGTGCCCCAATTCTAGACTGAATTCTCCTCTGCTCAAGCCCCTTCATGAATATGCATGTACCCTTAGCTTAAAACTTCTCCAGTTTTGCTCTTGGGGAGATACTGCTTTGGGAAAGATCCCCAGTGTTATTACTTGCTGCAATAAATCCTCCCTTCTCCTCCTCTTTGACTTGGTTGTGTCATTTGGCTTGACACCCACCAAGAGGCAAACCCAGGTGTGGGGTAACAGTTGGACGTGAGACAGGAGACATTTACAGACAGCCTTCTGTTTACACTTCCAGATAGAAGTAACAAAAGGAACAGGGTAAATAGCTAGACTTTGCCTCCAGTGGACACTTTAAGATAACAGTAATGGCAGGGGCAGAGAGGAGCTGAGCCCTGACCACATAAGAGACAAAGAGACCACATATTTCTCATCCTTGACGTCAAGGAGACCTTCCTGACTACACATAGTAGATGATGTCAACCTACCCATAGGCCTCTTCACTAGAAGCCATCTTGGCTAAGAGATGCACGCACACAGGGAGGACCCTGCGATAAACCAAATACGGACTCAGAGCCAGGCAATGCTAGATGATTGGCCAGAAGAAACCCGGAAGAAATGCCCCATATTAAGTGATTCAAACTACCACGAGGGCACGACTCTTGAGTCCGCCTGTGTGTGTCTATTCACACATACTCTTTTTCCTCCTAATAAACACTTCATTTGTTTCACTACTTTCCATCTCCTTGTGGAAATTCATTTCTAAAAACCGACAGGCCAGGGCCTTGTCACTGGCCACTGTCTCTGGTGGTCTAGTGGCTAGGATTCACTGCCATGGCCTGACTTCAATCTCTGGCCAGGGAACCGAAATCTTGCTTCAAGCCGCTGCAGGCCAAGGCCACCTGATATCAGATGAACCTACATTTGTTGTTCAAAGTGATCAGCTAAAAGTATGCTCATTCATTCTAGTATTAGTTGAATGACTCCTATTATTTTTATTATTATTTTTTTTTTTGCAGTACACGGGCCTCTCACTGCCGTGGCCTCTCCCGCCGCGGAGCACTGGCTCTGGATGCGCAGGCCCAGCGGCCATGGCTCACGGGGCCAGCTGCTCCGCGGAACGCGGGATCCTCCCAGACCGGGGCACGAACCCATGTCCCCCGCATCGGCAGGCGGACTCTCAACCACTGCGCCACCAGGGAAGCCTGACTCCTTCTTTTTGCGGTACGCGGACTCTCACTGTTGTGGCCTCTCCCGTTGCAGAGCACAGGCTACGGACGCACAGGCCCAGCGGCCATGGCTCACGGGCCCAGCTGCTCCGCGGCATGTGGGATCCTCCCGGACCGGGGCACGAACCCGTGTCCCCTGCATCGGCAGGCAGACTCTCAACCACTGTGCCACCAGGGAAGCTCCGACTCCTATTATTAAAAAGAAAACCACAGGCCCCAAATGGGGTCACTTATGCCAGGCCACACCACCAAACTGGGGCTTAATACCTAACTTAATTAATTAAAGCTTTAGTATCCTCCTCTTACCCTCAGTTTTCCACACTGCTATCAGAGCCATCTGAAACGAAAATTTGTCCATTTATTTGCTTACTTAAAATCCTTCAGAGTCATCACCTACAGGTAAAAATCCAAGTGCTTTCATATGATCTAACCCCTACCTATCTGTCCAACTGAAATATACCCTTCACTAATACTGGACTGCTTATACCTCCCTATGCAAACCATGCAACAATTCTGGTTATTTGGTAACTACCCTTTTTTTTTTTTTTTTTTTTTTGGGCGTGGGCGGGGCCCTCCTTTTTTTTGTCTCTTTTCTTTAGCGCAGGCTCCTGACGCGCAGGCTCAGCAGCCATGGCTCACAGGCCCAGCTGCTCCGCG